TTGGTCCAGTGGTGAGAATCTTTGTCTTCTTGACATTGAGCCTCAATTCATATTGTAGGTTGAAGTCCTTGACCCTCTGCAGCAGATGCTTCAGGTCCTCTTCAGTTTCAGCAAGCAGGGTTGTGTCATCTGCATAACGCCAAGCACAGCATAGGAAAAAAAGACTACTAACTTCAGTAAACACCATTACCATGCCAGGACCTGCTTTCTAGATTTGTTTTTAATTACTTTGAAAATTTAGTAACGTGGAAGTTCTATGATCCATATTCCCTCATCTCTAAAATAGGGAGGGCCACAATTGCCACATGATAGTTTGGAAATATCATGAAAACAATTTTACTAGCAGATGCACTTAGTAAGAGATAGCATTATTGGCAGTAGTAAAGAAAAAGAGTATATTTCTTAGCTCATAAATTTCCTCAGTGGATTTCTCAAAGTTTTATCTTTTCCAAGATCTTCTTACTATGATCAGTTTTTATCAACAAGTGTATCCTAATTTTATATATATATATTCCTTAGTTCTGTCCACTGAAAAGTCTTAGACACAGTGATAACCTAGTAGTAATAATATACCTAGTACCTAGACTACTCATTCAAATATTTTTTCTGACCAAAACAAATCAGAGCTTCTTAGAGAAATAGATGGTTCCTGATATGGATAGAAAATGAATGAAGTGAGCTTGTAATATCTTGTTATGATTGAAAGCAAAGTCTTCCAAAGCCTTGTAGAAGGACATAGAGCTTACTTAAAAGGACTTCCACTGGAAAAAAATTGGAACAATTTTGGAACAACTAAAAAATGAGTAAAGGCTGCAAATTATTAAGCATATCAAGTATATGAAAAATCTATATATTCATAATAATACCCTAAAAAAGGACTTCATTATTGGTCATCCTTCAAGGTTGTCTACAAACTAACTAGTTTTTCTAGAAATGATTCATAGTAGCTTTGTTCATAATATCTAAAAATTAGAAATACTTCAGTGTCTGTCAGGCAGGGAATGGGTAAACTGCAGTATATTCATACAATGAAATACTACTGAGCAATCAAAAGTAATGAACTAATCACAACATGGGTGACAGAAACATCCTACGTGAAAATGCATAAAATGTACACTGTATGGATCTCATTTATAGGAAATTCTCATGCAGATAAACCTGTAATGTAGGAAATACCAGGATGCTGGTTTTCACTCATGTAGGGGAGAGAGGGAGTGAATGCAAAGGAAATGAGTGAGTTTTCTGGAATGACAGTATCTTAATAGGAAATTGAGTTACACAGATGTATGCATTTGGCAGACTTCTCCAATGGTACTCTTAAGATTTATTTTATTTCACAGTACATAAATTTGACCACTAGAAAGAATTATGAACTCTATTTCATGATTTGTGTGCTGAACTGTAAGACTGATAGTTGCATAGAGGGATGAATAGGTAGATATGTGATTAAGTAAATTTAGCAAGCTATTTTGGTATATAGAAAAAGGCATATAAACTTTTACTTTTATGCAAGTTTGAAATTTCTTATAATGTAATATTGAAGAAAATCTCTATTTAGAAACCCTTAATTGTGGATCTAGGCATCATTGAATCCTAAATTAGCAAGTGAGGAGGTGATGTAGATCTTTGCAATGATGAATCAGGCTGATAAAACTTGAACCCACTCACCAATCCTGTTACTAAAAGTAGGAAAGCCAGCCATTATGTCCTTCTTGATGTGACACAATAGACATACATCTAAGAAATATTATCACCAAAACCTAAAATTGAATCTTAATCTAATCAGTCTTCTGGATCTAACTACTAAGTTATAGGCAATACAGGAGGTTAAGGAAAACACTAAATGACACCTTGCGAGTAGCAATTTGATGGCAACTGACTTGGGTTTTTGGTTTTTTTTAAAAAAATATTATTTATTTTAGTTCAGGATCAGGCCAGACGATCTTATTTCGCACTTTCTCATCTACCATTCCCACAGACAGAAAGCCATGTTGAGGTGGAACATTGGACTCTCTAGGAACAAGGCTCAAAGTCATGAAGTCACTCTGATGCATCTATTTTTTTTCTTCTTCTACTAGTTTATTTACAAAGTTCAAATACATTGTTTTACATACCAGTTCCTTCCCATTTCCCTCAACCTCTACACCCATCAACTTGTGCGACCCCATGATTAATCCTCCCACACACTTATGTAGGATAGAATGGAATGAAAAAGAAAAAGGACAGAACTCGGAGAGGAAAGACCATTAATCTTGCCCTAAAGATCAGGTTTTTGTTGTTGTTGTTATGTGCCGTCGAGTCACTTGCAACTCATAGCGACCCTATGTACAACAGCTCTAAACTCTGCTCTGTCCTGTGCCAATCTCACTGTCTCCGACACACTCATCCTGATTGCCCCAGTCATGGGATCAATCCATCTCCCAGAGGGCCTTTCCCTCCTGCGCCTGCCCTCCACCCTCCCAAGCATAATGTCCCTCTCCAAGGATCAATCTCTCCTTACAACATGACCGAAGTATGTCAGACGAAGTCTCAGAATCCTTGCCTCCAAGGAGCAGCCCGGTTTAACTCTCTCCAGAATGAATCTGTTTGTTTTCTTAGCAGTCCATGGCACCCTCAGCACTCTTCTCCAGCACCAAAGCTCAAAAGCATCAATTCTCCTTCTGTCCTCCCTGGTCATTGTCCAGCTCTCTGACGCATAACAAGTGATTGCAAAGACCATGGCCTGTACCAGACGCACCTTAGTCTCCAGAGACCCACTGTTGCTCTTGATAGAATGATTGAATTTTGCACAACCAATGACTTAGTCATAGCAAATACATTTTTAAGAGACATAAACGCAGGTTATATACTTGGATTTCACCTGATGGTATATGCATAGGAATCAGATCGATTACATCTGTGGAAAGAACCACTGGAGAAGCTCAATATCAGCTGTGAAAGCTAGGCCATGAACTAATTTTGGAACAGACCACCAACTACTCATATGCAAGTTGAAGCTGAAGCTGAGGAAAGATCAGGTTAGAGTGGATAAAGTCAGAGATTTCAAAAAACATTTTGGCAGGAAGTATAAAAAATATTTTTCTTTAAATAATTCTGAGATGTCAGTCAAAGAAGGAGAATGTTGCATGCAAAGATAGTATCTCAGATTTCCATACTTGGCACCATGCATCTTAGCACATCTTGGAAGCCAGTAATTTCTGAAAATACTAGCCGAATTTAGGTAATAAGTCTTTGGAGAAACTGGTCTGAAGTGAGCCCAATATAATTTAATCACCCAAAGTTATTCCAGAGGTTATTTCTATGTGTTAGGGTTAGTATATTGTCATAATTTGTGTAAATTGAAATTTTAATCTTAAATAATCCTTAATTTTGCATTTGGTTTTTTGTTTTCTTTTTCAGCCACACTGTGTTCTCCTCGCCTCAAAGGAAAACTCTGCACCTGTTAAACTGGGGGGCTTTGGGGTAGCTATTCAACTGGGGGAGTCTGGACTTGTAGCTGGAGGTAAGATTACTTTTAAAATATTTCCTTAAAAATGTGGTTATTTTTAGGCTAGGTAAAACTTTAAATATTAACCAACCTCAGTGTTTCATACTTCATTCCACTCTATTCCCTCCCCCCTCCTTAAAACCATTGTATGAATTTAATTTTTAATATGATAACTAGTCCTTAAAAAAACAGGAAAAAAATAATTTGAAGCAGAGTGACCTTAACAGTTGAATTGGACAATGAAGTCAAATCGAAAATGTGTGGATTAGCCATTTTCATGATTATATCTGAGTTTAATTTTTCATTTCATTTACCATTTGTGAAAGATTCTTCCCAAGTAATTAATTTATGTGCATGGAGAAAAGAGCAAACAGATGTAAATTCAGCCTAATATTATTGTTGTGGTTGTGAAACTTTCATTATTTCTCCACATTCTAGAGTTTTCAGAAGTGAATCCCACTGCTGCTTCCAAAATATTATTGTTAGATAAATCAATACATTAATTTAAAGTGCCCATGTCAGATGGGGAAAGGGAACAAGTAGAAACATTTGTAAACAGTGTATAGAAGTCAATGCTAATTATGAATGAAGGTGTTTGGGACCATGGCTATGTAGGTCCACAGCACTTACCATAGAGTATCAGACCCAGCAAGTTCGTAGGAAATTACTACTAAATGAAATAATCTGATTGCTTATCAGTTTCCAGTTAATAGTAAATTAAAAGCAACAAATGAGAAACTAGAGCTGGGAAAAATGTAGTAAGAGAAAGGAAATGAAAATCTAACAGAAAATAGTATTTCCAGCAGATTCCAAAACTTGGAAAAGATAGCATCTTCTTAGTGCCATAGTACCATCTTTTAGTACCTCTGAAGTTTCTGAGGGCGCTTTCTGTTTTTAGCCTATTTCTTAATTTGATATTCAGGATGACAACTCAAGTTGTTATCAAGAGTCATCAAGAAAGGTTAAATTATGTGTAGCATACTGTGTAAAAGAACTTAGAAATTGGTATGTTGTTGTTGTTATGTGCCATTGAGTCACTTGCGACTCATAGAGACCCTATGTACAACACCCTAAACTCTGCTCTGTTCTGTGCCAAGAGTGGTATGTTGTTGTTGTTGTTGTTGTTATGTGTCGTGGAGTCGCTTGCGACTCATAGCGACCCTGTGTACAACAGCTCTAAACTCGGCTCTGTCTTGTGCCAATCTCATTGTCTCTGACACACTCATCCCGATTGCCCCAGTCACCAAAACAATCCACCTCCCAGAGGGCCTTCCCCTCCTGCGCCTGCCCTCCACCCTCCCAAGCATAATGTCCTTCTCCAAAGACTGGTCTCTCCTTACAATATGACCAAAGTATGTCAAACGAAGCCTCAGATCCTTGCCTCCAAGGAGCAGCCCAGTTTAACCCTCTCCAGGATGAATCTGTTTGTTTTCTTGGCAGTCCATGGTACCCTCAACACTCTTCTCCAACACCAAAACTCAAAAGCATCAATTCTCCTTCTACCCTCCCTGGTTATTGTCTAGCTCTCTGACGCATAACAAGTGATTGCAAAGACCATGGCCTGTACCAGACACACCTTAATCTCCAGAGACACACTGTTGCTCTTCAGTACTTTAGAGAGGTCCCTAACAGCAGACTTTCCCATTGCAATATGTCTTTTAATTTCCTGGCTTCCAGTGCCAAGACTGTTGACTATGGAGCCAAGCAAACTAAAGCTGTTAACAATCTCAATCTCCTGAAACCCACAGCATCCCTTTTCAGCAGGAAGTAGCTAAGAGAATACGCCGTCCCCTTTTCCTTATGACTCAGGGTGAAGTCTCTCTCAGGGAGGAGTGATAGGGAATGGCAAAGGACACACTGACAAAGAAGATTAATCAGAACTGGCTTTGACAAGCACAGTGGCATTTGGACAAGAACAAACTGGGAGGAGGGTAGAGAGAATAGTGCAACAATGAATGAGTGGAGCCCAAAATCTCTGTAAATGTTTATGAAAATTAATAAAATATAATTATAGAAAAAAACCAATATATAAAAAAAAACAATCTCAATCTCTTCACCATCCATCCTGATGCTGCCAATTGGTCCAGTGGTGAGAATCTTTGTCTTCTTGACATTGAGCCTCAATCCATATTGAAGGCTGCAGTCCTTGACCCTCAGCAGCAAGTGCTTCAAGTCCTCCTCAGTTTCAGCAAGCAGGGTTGTGTCATCTGCATAATGCAGATTATTGATAGACCTTCCACCAATTCTGATGCCACCTTTCTCCTCACAGAGCCCAGCCTCCCGGATGATCTGTTCTGCATATAGGTTAAAAAGTTATGGAGACAGCACACATCCCTGGCATACACCCTTCCCAGTTTTGAACTATGTAGTGCTTCCTTGCTCTGCTCTGACGACTGTCTCCTGGTCCAAGTATGAGTTTAGCATAATCAAGTATTCTGGGATTCCCATTCTTCTGTTAATTTAGTTGAGAAATAGGTGAGGAGAGGCTTCAGTTTGATGTTAGGAGGATGATTTAGAGCAGTAGTCTTGGAGTTTCTCCAGTCTCTATCAGACCAGTATGTCTAGACTGGTCTTTTGTGTGGATTTGAATTTTGTTCTACATTTTCCATTCACCCTAACCAAGCCCTCCTACTGTTTTCCTGGTTAGAGTGGTCAATAATAGTACCTGGGCACCTTTTAGTTCTTCTGATATCACACTCGAAGAGGCTTATCTGAGCCACATTAGCCCTTTGGACTGACTTGAGTCTTGTATTTAAACGTCAGTTAGGCCCAGTGTTTAGTATTCTTTTATTTTGGAGAAACATTCTTCTAACTTGTACAGCACTCCTCTGTCTTTTTGTTGCACTGAGGAAATCTGGGTTTTCTGTAATGCTGAACCTTGTGCCACTGGGGGTCAAATGCCATTATGGCTGCCCATGGTGGACAGTTTTTGGTGAAGCTCCCAGTTTAAGACAGGTTTGGAAGCAGGAGTGGCATCCACTTCCTAAACTATATGCCTCTGGAAACTCTATGAACTTGGAGAAATGACGATCATTATAGGAAGTTTTTAGGCCTTTTGTTCATAGGGTCGCTATGAGTTGTGTTTGACTCAACGGCAATAAACAACAACATATGAACAAGCAAGTAACCCTACCCCTGGCTGGGTACTCAGAGCTCTTTCCCTGCTTTCCTCTATTCTTGCCAGCTCCTTTCCGTCAAACCAAGGCTGGTTCCCCAGTGGTCCTGACTGTTCTGGCTCTTGATGAAATCAGAAGCTTGGTTCTCATGCATTCCACTTTCTGTATGTTACTTGAAGAGACAGAAATGGCACAATACAAAAATAAATTATTTCTCTAGCCAGTTCCTTTTGAATTTTTACAGTTATATTGTACACTTTAAACATAAACACACACTGAGCCCAGAATTTAACTTGGCCTGAGCATCTTTTCTATTTTAGGGAAGTGAATGAAGAGGGATGATGGGGGAAGACTCATAATATGCAATAAAGGAAGATCCCCAAACACAGGCTGCTTTGTCTTTGTCTAAACTTTGATAACCACCAACAGAACTTTATGACGTATTCTCTTTAACTGAACTATTGTTGTTGTTATATGCCATTGAGTCAAAACAGACTGATTACTGACCCACCAGTGGTTTTTCAGAGGCTGAAAATCACACAAGAAGAGATTGTTGTTGTTGTTGTTGTTGTTGTTAAGTGCTGTCGAGTCGCAGGCAATTCATAGCGACCCTATGAAGGAGAGGCCTCAACACTTGGATGCCTTTCATCCTCTCTACAGGTTCATAGGGTATCCGGAGGCAAGCTATTATGGAGGTGGATGCCACTCCTTCTTCCAAGCTTGTTTTAATCGGGGCGCTCCACCCCACTCTGTCCACATTAGGTAGCCAACCATTAACACATTTGACACATCAGTGTCACAGTGTTCAGCCTCACAGCAGCCACAAGTGAGCACGGTACGGCAACTTGTACACCAGGGCTATATGACCTAGAGGAATGTCTGAACAAAAACAGTGAAAGACTGGCCTGAGGGCTGCAGGCCCGAGGGCCTTTTTGGGCTTGAAGCCCCCTGCTGCCTCAAACCCTAGGCCATACCTGCCTCGCCTGGCTCTTGGAGGCAGCGTAGTCCTTCACATCCAAAAACTGCCACAACACCCACACGCACAGCACCATGCTCTCTCTGGCAACCAGGTCATAGCATCCCTGGGCAGAGCAAACCTGGGAGAACATGGCCGCCTTCTCTCCCCTCTTCCCCTTTTGGGCTTGAAGCCCCCTGCTGCCTCAAACCCTATGCCAAGCCTGGCTTGCCTGGCTCCTGGAGGCAGAGCAGTCCTTCACGTCCAAAAACTGCCACAACACCCGCACACACAGCACCATGCTGTCTCTGGCCACCAGGTCATAGCAGCCCTGGGTGGAGCAAACCTGGGCGAACATGGCCACCTTCTCTCCCCTCTTCCCCTTTTGGGCTTGAAGCCCCCTGCTGCCTTAAACCCTAGGCCAAGCCTGGCTTGCCTGGCTCCTGGTTGCAGAGAGATTACCTACCCATTTTTCTCTTGTGGAGCAATGGTGGATTCGAACTTCCTACCTTTGGATTGGCAGCATAACTCCTTAGCCACTAGGCCACCAGATAGATCTCCCTTTAGCTGAACTAGAGGATCTCTAAGGATTCTTTGAATTGTGAAACACAATTTGAAAGTATCATTAATTTTCAAAGTAAAAATTATCCTGTACTCAGTATTACGTGCATAATGGGGACCCCACTGGACCCGTGGACAGAAGAGTTGACAAGTGTCTTGGACAGTGTCCTCTCTTCACCCTTCAGTAGAAGAAATAATGCTCCTTCAGTAGAAGAAAATAATCCCTTTGTAATCTTGTGTTAAAAATAGTTAATAATGTGCAAGTTACTGATATTAAATACCTTTCTGAAATCTAACTTTTATAAAATTAATTTCCATTGAGTTGGAACCAACTCATAGCTGACCCTCTAGCATGTTTTCAGAGACTGTAAACCCCACAAGAGATTTCTCATCTTTCTTCTATGGAACTGGTGAATTCACACAGCCATAGAACCACCACTTTTGAGTGGGGATAGAAAAAAACAACCAAACATTGAAGACAGAGAGTAGTGAGGGTTCAATAGAAGGAGCGGCATAGTTGTGCTTTATGCACATAATTTTGCTTTCATGATCTGTGAATGTTATTAGGAGACTAAAAAATGACTACTTTTTGTTAACTACTATAATCAATTCATAAAGTCAATACGATTTCAAATTCAAATTTTATTTCAAATCAAACTTTTTAGCATTTACTTTAACTGATACTTTCCATTTGCCAATCAAAAGAAAAGTATTCTTTTTTCCCAGATTTTTCTTGCTTCAGCCACTTTTCTCTGTGCCTGGGGAAGACTAGTCTCAGGACAGTCCCACACTGCCTGCTGACTGTTCCATCTGCCTCTGTTTCATGTTTCTAGTGATCTTCAAATGTGAAAGATTGAGAATTTTTAAATTATTCCACAAAGGAAGAAAGATACAAATATCTCTTTGCTCTTTGCTGAATTTAATAGTGATTAAGAGTGTTAGAAAACAAAATACCCCTCTTGGGCTCAACATTTTCAAGATAATTATTAGATAAGTAATTTTTGTATAAATAATTATTAGATAAGTAATTTTTTTCCTTTCTGTGAACTTAAGGGAGTGGCCTAGTGGGTAAGGAGCTATGCTGTCAACCAAAAGGCAGGCATTTTGGATCCACCTTCCACTTTCAGGAGAAAGATAGGCAATCTCCTCCCTTGCAGTTTACAGCCTCTGAAAACACATTATGGGTCAGTTCCCACTCCATGACAATGAGTTTGAGTGTTCTGTAAACTGAGAGCAGGTCGAAAGGTGGATTTTTATTGTTGTTATTACATTTCGAATCCAATTTGTTATTGTTTCATTATGTTAGTTATCTGTTTTATTATAGACATGTTTTCTTAACATTATTTTAAATACAGGCCGCGTTGGAACACCTCATTTCATGGCCCCAGAAGTGGTCAAAAGAGAACCTTATGGAAAGCCTGTGGACGTCTGGGGTTGTGGCGTGATCCTTTTTATTCTGCTAAGTGGTTGTTTGCCTTTTTATGGAACCAAGGAAAGATTGTTTGAAGGCATTATTAAAGGAAAATATAAGGTAATATATTATGAATGTTTCATTTTGCCATTGAGATAAAATTTTTCTGAATACGTGCTTGGTTTTTTTGGGGGGGGTTGGGTGGTTACACCCCAGATTTGTATAACACATGTTTGAAATTTTTTAGCTGCAATTAACTTTTTCCTCCATTAAAAAAAAATTGTTTGCATACAAGTTTGAATACATTTATTGTATTCATTGTATGTATACATTGTATATCATTCAGGTACATTGCATTTCTCACATTCCTTCATTCTCATTGTGTTTCAAAAGATACTCAATCACTCATATATATCTTGTTTTACAAAATTAATCACCATTGATCTATGCCTACTATTACTCCATCTTTTCAAGTCCTTACTCAATCTTTCCTATTTCTTCAACCCCTTATCCACCCACTAACCTCTGCTGTGCAATGTTTTCACTCTTTCACATTTTACTTCCCTTCCCCCCTCTTCTTTCCTCTTTTGAACATTTATACACATCTTGTTCAGTTATTTTATCTTTACAATAAAGGTCTTATGCAATATTTGTCCTTAAGAAGCTGAGTTAGTTCACTCAGCATAATACTCTCTAAATTCTCCTATGTTATATAGTATTACAAAATCACTAAGTGCTGCATAGTATTTCATTGTGTCAATGTACCACAATCTCTCAATTTTTTTAATTTATTGATGGGCATTTGGGCTGTTTCCATATTCTTGTCATTGTGAATAATGCTGCTGTGTACAAATCTTCGTTTATGTCTCAGTTCTATTTTCCTCATAATATATATTCCTAGTAGTGGAATAGCTGAGTCCTATTGAATTTGTGTTTGGCTTTTTGAGGAAATGCCAAACTGCCTTCCAAAGTGGTTGTATGAACCTTTTAAAAAATTATTATTATTATTATTATTATTATTATTATTATTTTATGTGTATACCGTCAAATTGGATCTGACTGGTACAGGAGGCAATTATTCCTCCTTCTTCAGCAGAGCATCTGGTGGATTTGAACCACACACCTCTGGGATTGCAGTGCAGCTTCTTGCCGCTAGGCCACCATAGCTCGCCAAAACTTTTTAAAAAAATTTATTTTATTAATTTTAATGAACGTTTACAGAGATTTTGGATTTTCATTCATTCATTGTTGCATTTTTCTCCATGCCCACTCCTCCGCCCCAGTTCGCTCTTCTCTTTGAAAAGTGAAAGAAAAATTCCTTCATTGGTATACAATCCCCCCACCCCCGAATACACTCCACTATGCAACCTTCATTCTGGACTCTAGTCATAACCATAATATCCAAGGAAGTTTCTGGGGTATTTTTGTTTGTGTTACTATTCTTTCTCTCCCTCAAAAGTGGGTGGCCTTGAGCCTTACTTAGTCTAAGGCCGAGACCTGCTCGAGGGTGTGACTTTCAAATCCTATAGAGCCAGAGTGCTGTATTAATTTTAAAAGAATATTCTTTTAATGACACAGCAATCATTTATTTGACAATATGTCTATAGATAAATATTGTCTATTTGTCTATGTGATGCTGAACACTATTTCATAATCTTGTCAAATACCATAATGGTTACCCATTATGTACAATATTTGGATGAGCTTCCAGATTGATTCATGTTGAGAAGCAGGAGTGGCATCCACTTCCTAATCTGGATGTCTTTGGAAACTCTACAAACTCTCTTATACATGTACATAAATGATGTTAATTGTAGAACAGAGTTCAGGTCTCTTGTGCAAAATTTACTCTGAGTCATATTCAATTTGACAACACTTAACCACTGCTAAATGAGACTAGTGCTGTTATATCTGGAGCCTTGTGCCACGGGGATATCAAATACCATAATGGTTTCCCCTTATGGACAGTGTTTGGTGGAGCTCCCCTTTGTAAAACAGGGTTGGAAGTAGGAGTGGCATCCGCTTCCTAAATCACATGCCTCTGGAAAGTCTATGAACTTGGAGAAACAACAATAGCTATGAAAAGGCATTAGGTCTTTTGTTCAGAGTCACTATGAGTAGGCAATCAACAACAAAACCAACATCCATCTTTGGATTACCCAGCTAAAGAAAAGTTCTCTTCTTATGTCATTGATGTAGACCTCAATTAAATTCCAAATTCCTGAGCTTATCAAATAAGCAAACTAAACACAGATGGTCAAAAAGAAATGCTACCATTCTCCCTTTTCTTCTCCCATTCCCTTCATTCTGTGCTGCATCTAAAGTCTATACAGTTTCTTTGTATTCCAAACTTTAGACTTGAAAATGTAGCCCAGCCTTGTTTGTACAGTAGAAAAGGCAAAGATTAGATCTGTGTGTCCCTTTTCCTCACATGCAAATCCACCTCTTAGGAGTCCTGGGCTCTCCAATGTTGAGATATTCACAATGCCATTCTATAGTCATTAAAAGAACTTGATCTGACTTCTGCAGTTTATGATAGAATTTGGCTTCATTTTACCCTGCATAAACTGTTTGTAGAAGCTCTAGTGGTATAGTGTGTTACGTGTTGTGCTAGTCAACCCTAACAGCTGACTCACAAGAAAGATATGCAGTCAACTCCCATAAAGATTTATAGCCTCATAAATCCAGTGGAGAGTCATCACGCATCAGAACTGACTTGATGACAGTAGGTTTGGTTTCAGGTTTTGGACGTTCTTTGTAAGGCTTTCTAATATCATAGTGGTTAATGAGCACTTGACTTCTAACTGAAAGTCCAGTGGTTCAACCACACCAGCTACTCCTTGGGAGAAATCTGTGGCAAATTCCTCCTGTAAAGATCACAGCCTCAGAAACTGAATGGAGCTATTCTATTCTATCCTTTAAGGCCTCTATGAACTGGAATTGACTTGACATCAGTGAGTTTGATTTGTTTTGTAAACTGTTTGTAACAGACTTGAACTTAAATTTTAAAATGCCCATTAACTTAACTATTTGATGACCAAATCCATTCATTGGAGTTAAGCTACAAAATTAACTTCTACAGCCCTTCTTTGTGTAATTTGAGGGGGGGAAAAAAGAGTTTCATTTTAAAAGCTTAATTTATAAAATTAAAATGGAAATTGAATCTAGTTAATTTTAAGTTTCATCTCTAATACTTTTACTTATTTTGCTTTTTCACACAGAATATTGTGTCTTATGTAGCCAGCCAGCACAGCTTACATATTTGCCATTTCTATTCCAGAAAAACTGAAGTGTTATTACCATTATGGTAATACCACTTAGAGTCAGTCTTGATAATTATTGTTCACCTATTTTGAATGGCAACACTGCATACTATTCAGACTTGTGATTAGTAAATGCTTTAAAATCTCCTTAATACTTTCTTTTTTATAAAAGATAGTTTCTTCTTGAGATGATGAAAAATTTTGGAAATAGTGGTAATATTTTTTTGCACATTATACATGTAATTAATGTCAGAAAATTATGCACTGAATTTCAACTTTTACATTTTGAATATGCAAAAAATCAATAAGACATTTAAAAATTATAATTGGCATTATTAATGGTGTTATTGAATTGAGTGACCTAAAGACTATTTGGCAATAAACAAGCTCACGACTATGCCAGCTCTTGTTAACAAGTGTTTTGCTCTTAGAGGATATGTTGCCACCTATGGGAAACATGGCGTATGCGTTTCTGCATATCAGGGCAGATATGCTGGGAACATTATTTTTCCTCCCTTTATTATTAAAACCTCTACTTCCCATCCAATACAATCATGGTTTCAGTTTCTACCAACAGTTTTGACTAGCAGTATAAAAGGAAACACAAGTTTATATACATTTGCAGGAACAGAAAATGAGACTCGGGGACACAGGGCCATGAGCAGCTCCCTGAAAGGGCCAAAGGGAGTAAGAATAGCACAACCCCTCACCACCCCAGAGCATAAAACAGATAAAGAGCCCGTAGCCTAGCTGCATGGTGCCTCTATAACCATACAAGCAGTAAGAGGTGCCTCTATAACCATACAAGCAGTAAGAGGTTCATTTATTCATTGTTAACTCAAACTATGATAGCAAGAGTGGGGTTTATTAGGAAAATAGGCTGGAGAATGGGTGAGGCAAAAAAATATAACCCAATACAAATCCAGGTTCAGTCCAACAGTCGCAAGCCAGATTAACAGCAAAACACAATTCTGCAATTAGGGACAGTCCCAGTTCAGTTCAGTTAGCACAAATCCAAATCATGCAGCAAGGTTTGCCCCAGAGTCAGCTTCTCCTTCAATTACCCAACAAGAATAGCAAAACCTTTAATTGTGGTCTTTATCTAAGGGCTCCTCTGGTATACCTTATCCAGTCTCTCCATCACCATCACCAGGGTCTAGCCACCTGGTTCTCACTCTCACCAGAGTCTTCCTCCAGTCTCCCTGAAGCCTTACTGCTTAGTGTGGGAAACACTCTCTTATTCTAGTCCCACAGCTGTTGATAGTTTACAAGACCATGTGTCTGCAGTTAAAGAAACTGGAGACCAGAAAGGGCTAAGGTAATGGCTAAAAAAGCCAACTTTAGGCAAACATCACAACACTAGACTTCAAAACTGTGAGGCTCCTTAAGTTTTCATTTAAATTTCTCAATAATGTTGGAAATTTATATTGGACTTGGGGGGAAAATAAGAAAAGGGGAAAGAGAAGGGAAATGCAAAGTACTTTCAGAGTTGTAGCCTTGGTTTTTAAGGCACTACTGAAACTTATGGTGATGAGAATGATTTGTTGGGGTTTTTTTCCCCCTTGATACAATAATGCCTTGTCTGTTGCACTAGCAATTTATAAATGCATTTATTTTTTTGGATTAAAATTATGCCAAAACTCTGTTAATAGGAAAAGATGCTTTAAGTTCTGCTTCTCTTAGAAAAAGATACTTTAAGTATAGGTTCTGCTTCTCTTAGAGTAAGTTGGTTATTGTGATAATTATATCTCTCTGGAAACTGTAAGCAACCATCCTTCTACAATAACTGAAAATTGCAAGTGAGTAATTTGAGTTTAGGTTGAAGTTTTTCAAGGAAAATTACAGGTACTAACATGA